GTTTGATATATGGACCTGCAGCGGAGTTTAGGCCCAGACACGGCTAGTGACGTCAGACTGAACGACCGGATATTGGTCTGCACTGACTTTCCATTACAAACCTAGAGGTGCTGACTATTATATTAATCTTTTTTTTAAATCTAGAGAAAACCTATGTGTCATTATAAGCTGCCTTCTAACATTCAGAGATTTACATGATCTGATTCACAGTGTATAGTGAGCTTCATACACTTAAGCATAAATAGTCGTGTCTGAAATCATCTTTTAATACAAACATTATGTACAACATTATTATTGAACAAACATTGTTGAACAAAAAAAACAGGTCACATGTTAGAATGATTTTATTTTTGTAGTAAGCCCCTAAGACAATATACAGCTGGTGTTTAGAATAGAGTTGAATAAATGTTAAAAACATGATCTGATCATTTCTGAAACAGTCTTCAGGAGGATAACCACGTAGAGCATCAATAGAGGTTTCTGCTCCCAGTAAACATGCTCACGCTTTTCTCCTGGATTAAAATATTTCCAATGTTAAGCTTTTAAAATCAACATTAGGGAGTAAAGGCTGCCGGTGAGTCCCTGCAGTGGCTCTGGTCTAGGCCTGCTCCTGTTGCCTAGCAACCACAACACTACAGCGTGACATGTTGTGTTTTACAAAGATGTTTTGTTGGGTGGAAATCTTGACTTTATTTTCTTTTTCATTTTCTTTATTTTTACTTTTACTGAAGAAAACTGATATGTTTCATAGGTACATATCAGAAAATTAACAAGATGTTGTTATTTTGCATGATAAAAACGAAGGAATCTGAGGCCAAAAGACCACAGCCATGTAAAAATAAGATTTGTTAAGCTGTGTCCCTTTAGCCAAAACTAATGTGAACATTAGTTTGTAATAAGCAAATAACGTAGTTCCGGAAACTAGAGTCATTTCACTTTGAGAATATAAAACAACAGGGCCTACATTAACCATACTAATACATGAAATATACTAAAAATGACCAGTGGTGAATTTAATTCAGTTGATTGTGCTACACTCCAAATTCAAGGTACATTTATTTCAATGTTATATAACTTTCTATCTTCTTTACCAGGGCTCATCTCAGAGACGTTGTTGTCAAAGATGAATATATATAAATATGTTGAGACAGATATTGTTCATTTTATATATTGTCCCCAATAGACTTTGGGAAAAAGGTTTTAGTTACATGTATGGAAAAAATAACAAGTTGTGGTTATTTTGCATGATAAAAATGAAGAGATTTTGTTAGTTGGGTGAGTAAATGCTGTATCACAGATGCTACAAATAGCTACAAACACAATATACTTTATATTTTACTGTCATAGATGAACTTACCTTGAAGAAAAAAACTGTGAAA